AGTTTGAAGTTTTTCACCCCTGAAGAAGTCTAAATCATGGACGAAACGCATAGGTTATACTTTTATTATTAATCTGTTTTACAATATTATTGTTATATTATTTGCTGCTTTTTATATAATTTTCATCTTCATGATTCTCCAACCTTTTGGCATCTTCAGTTGTAAGGATGATAAGCTATCATTGGTTTTAAATCTTGTAAGTGCAATTCAATTAAATGAAGTCATTTTATGTGTTAAATTCTACTCTACGTGTCCCATTGTTATCTTCCTCTACATGTGGTGCTGCTATTTGGGAACCTCAGATGACAGAATATTTTTTTATTTTTTTATTTGACAATTTTTATTTTGTCTTTTTGGAGAATCAAAAAGGAAGGGGGTACAGAAGAAAGGAGTGAAGAGGGTGGGAGGGTACAGCAATTACATATTCAACATTTCATATTCTCTATGACATTCCATTCTGTATATACAGCATAACATCTCATAGGTTTTATTTTGAACCTTTTTGGACTTGTGTATGGTCCGTCTGCTTATTTCCCTGTGGTTATGGTTACAGTAGGGTCGCTCTTGATTGCAGAGCGTGCCAATCTCCATGTGTCCTAAGTTTCCCATGGCCTTTTGGTAGTTCTAGAGGGGGGACACAGCCTGAGGAAACAATGCTCATACATATGTTGTTTATCTATGTCCGTCAGTAGAGTGGACACAGCAGGGCAGTGCAGGGACTTCAATGCTCTGGCTATCAATCTATGGGCTGACAATAGGACATGGTACATGAGCTTCTGCATAAATTTAGTGAGGCCGTCCTGGAAGAGCATGGCTAGGTATGTAGTTGGGTGAAAGGGGAATTTGTGTGCTGCCAGGGACGACAATAGATTGTGGACCCCTTGCCAAAACGTTTGGAGAGCCAGACACTGCCGCCAAACATGGAGCACCGTCCCTTCTTGATTGTTACATCTCCAGCAGTGTGGTGAACTATCTGGGAAGATCTTGTGGATGGGCGTTGGCACCATATACCATCTATAAATCAGTTTCCGCTGCGGTTCCGGTAGGGTAGTGGACTTGATTAGGGATTTGGTCATGGTGAACAGGTGGCCCCATTGTTTTTGAGAGATTTCAGTTCCCAGATCTGTGGTCCATTGCCGGGAAGGTGCAGACTTGTGGAATGGGAGGTAATCTAATATTGACTTGTAACACATGGAGATAGGCTTACACAGAGGTGGAAGCATTTTGTTGATACATATCTGTTCCCATGCAGTGAGTGAGTGTTTAGTCGTGTGCGGTAGGGGGGCTTGTAATTGCCCTCGGGTTAGGAATGATCTCAATTGCAGGCAGGAGAATTGCGTGTATGTGGTATAGGTGTGTAAATTTTTGAATCTGCCAAGGTTTATCATGGAAAGTGGGGATGCAGTACGGGAGGGCTTCGATGGGGGTGGCCTAGGAGAGTGGGTTCGAGGAGCTCACGCTAGACCTGCAGGTATCCCAAACCTGGAGAGTTAAGGTAATCTGAGGCGGCGCTGACGATAAGGGTGGCCTGAGTGTTTAAGTAGCCATAACATGCTGGGAGGTTGAAGGGCAGTATCCAATTACCATCTGTGGCCACCCATTGGGGCTTGGGGCCTCCGAGAAAATGAGGCAGCACCGTGGCCAGTATGGAGGCGTGGTGGTAAGTCTTTTTATAGGGGACTGCAAGGCCTCCCTCTTTTGTTGGAGCTTGGAACACCTTCATGGCCACTCTAGGTCTGAAGCCTGCCCAGATGAATTTGGACATGTCTTTGTGAACACCTTTAAAGTAAGCTAGAGGGAGTGATAGGGGAAGTGTACGGAAGAGGTACTGTAGTTTGGGTAAGATAGACATTTTGAATGCCACTATCTTTTCTGTCCAGGTCAGGTACAGTGGACTCCAGCGTTGGAGAATGAGTTTGGATTTGTTCCATACTTATGTAATTCCCCTTATATAATTCCGCTGTGTGAGATGAGAGAATATTTAAATGTTACATGTCTTCTATCAATATACGTTTGTTGAGTGCAATACTTTCCTTATTCCCACTTATAATTTTATTTTTTGCAGTGTTACACTATTTCAGTTTTTTACATTTGTTGATATTTGTTTTATATGATTATTCACCAATGCATTATTGTTTTGGTTATGGCTCTTAACAGAACATTGACTCCTGACTGCTAATTTTATAACATGACAGGAGGCTTCCTATTTTGCATTAACTCTCTTTACTAAACTCCACAGCAGTAAAGAAAAACGTAAAGAGTAACAAATAAATCACTGAGCAGCATAGTATATAAGGGTCATGCTGCCTGTACACTTCCTCTTTCTTTACTGCTCCATCGCAGACAGGTCAGAATATTTGCTCCCCTGGAGCTTTATACATTTATTGTCATTACTTGTTATACATTTATTGTCATTTCTTGTTTATTCCTTGCTATTGCAACATACTTTATCATCTTGGTTTTGCTTTTCCTTCTATTATTTGTTCTATACAAGGGCTGGGGGACTAGGGGCTCTCTGTGGGTTTTTCTGCCTCCTTCTGCCCCTCTGTGCCTCCTGGGACCCTCCCTGGGCTTCCCCTTGGTTTCCCCAGGTTCCCCCTCTGCCCCCCTACCCTGGAGTGCCCTCCTGGGCTTCCTCCTTGCGGCCGGTTTTGTTCGCGGCCGTTTTCGCGCCGGCCCGCTTCCGCCCGCGGCCGGCCTCAAAATTTAGTCCCCGGCTTGCGGCCTACCTCGCGGCCGCCATTTTGGATCGCGGACATCGCGAGATTCTCGCGGCCATCTTAGTTTTTCCTCGTGCATCTCATTAGGGACTCAGTGTGGCTGTGCTAGCTTGCTGTTACCTCCTAAGCTGCTGTTTTTCACACCTATTTGTGTCTGACACCCCTGTGACTGTAGGATTACCTGCTCAGCACTCCATCTGCTGCTTTCAACCTGCTACTCAGTCTCTGTGCCTCATCTGCTTCTATCAAGCTATCCTGTGGCTGGGTCAGTCAGGTCAGTGCTGCTGCCTGTTTATTGTTATTGTGGCCTGCACTTAAGGGTACCATCCCTGTGCAACCGGGGTGAGCCCCCACTATAAAGACGCTGCTTACTGGGAGACTAGCTGTTGCAGTTCTCTCTAACTGGGTGAGCCCCAGTTTGTAAGGTCACTACTATACCCTGCTGGGGTTATTTTGGGCTTGTTCCCACCATACTTCCAAATCTGACCCTACGCCTACTATCAAGACCTGGGTGCCTGTTCATTGCTGTGCCTCTCAGTGACCTATAAGCCTACCCTAACATGGAAGATTCCCAGAACGTCCCTGTGGACTTCCAGGCCATGATTAACGCAGCTGTCGCTGCCTCTGTGGAGAAGGCACTCTCCAAGGCCCGAGCTTCGGCTCCTGACGTACCAAAACGCAGACGTCCACGCCACGAATCGGATTCTGAAGTGTCCGACCACCAGGCACGGGAGGATTCCCGCCCTAAAAAACGCCATGACAAAGGCGAAGACTACACACCCAAACCGACTAAGGGTAAGGCACCTGCCAAGCGCAAGTCTGCCAAATTACACACCCCGGCCCCGCGTCAGGAGTACTCTTCAGGCGAAGAGCAGGACGCACAGTCCATGTCAGTGCTGGATGAATGGCAAGCTGACGCCTCCGACTCGGACTACGACGCATGGGGCTCGGACGAGAAATCTGTCTCCGCTTTCATGCGAGAGACCCTACTGGGTGCGGCCCAGACAGGAGGTGCAGAGGACACTGCGGACGCAGAGCCTCCTCTTGATGCAGACACCATCTTGGACCCCTCAGGCCAGGTGATGTTCGACCCCCGCAACATTCGGCACCCCAGATCAGGTGACTGGTCGCCTCCAGAACACCTTTCAAGATTTATGCACCTGTGGCTCCGCAAACCTCTGGAGAAAGAGGTCCGCAGCCGTCTCAGGTCTGAATGCCCACGCCCTTCCCTGCCGGATAAGGTCGCTCAGACCCCGGAATTCGACAAGGTTATGTCAACCTTCATGACGCGCAGCGGTAGAGACCCTCGCCGAGGGGTGGAGAAAGGCCTATGGGGCGCCCAAGATAACCTGCTGGATTCTGTCGGCCCCCTGGCTCGCATTATGTATCTGGCTGATGATGCCTACACCAAAGCCGATTCCTTCTCCGCTGAGGACATCAGGGAATGGGCACATGATATTCGTGAGTGGGCACAACGGTGTTTTTGTTTCATCGGAAACACTAATGTTACGCTCTCTTCGGAGAGAAGAAAAGCAGCGTTGTACCGTATTAACGGCAAATTGGCAGACCTTGGCACAAAGGAAATTGGGCCCCAGGCACAAGGGAAACTATTTGGCGAACCGTTCCTCAAGGAACTCAACAAACACGTGAACGTGTTCACCTCCCTCAATAAGGCGCAGTCCTCAATGCGCAGAGTTTTCAGAAGCAACCCTACCAGAGGGGTTTTTGGAAGGGCTGGCCGGCAACGGGGCCGTGCCGCCAGCCGATTTTGGCCTTCAGGCCCCCGCACCCAACCAACACCATTTTACCCGACAAGAGACTACCGGCAGCAACCCTTTTCCAGAGGCTCGGATAGAGGTCGTGGACCCCGCGGACGCGGACGTTCCCGCTTTACCGCAGGTAAGGACCCATATTCCTCCACTGTTACCATGTACCCGCACTGCGGGCCGTATTTCCCTTTCTTTCCAGAATTGGGCCGCCCTATGCTCAGACACATGGATCCTACAAACTGTACAGGGATATATCATAGACCTAGTGGGGACCCCCTTTCAGGTTCAGCCCCCTCGCCCCATCCACATGTCATCCTCCGACCACAACCTTGTCAACGCGGAGCTACGCGAGCTCCGAGACAAAGGGGCTATCCAGCCGGTCCGCGACGGGGGTGGTTACTTCAGCAACATCTTCCTGGTTCGGAAAAAGTCGGGAGAATACCGCCCCGTCATCAATCTACGCGCCCTCAACGCATATGTGGTCTATCGCCACTTCAAGATGGAAGGCATCCACCTCCTGCGAGACCTTCTTCGAAGCAACGACTGGTTCACCAGACTCGATCTAAAGGACGCGTATCTGTCAGTCCCGGTGCACCCGGACTGTCGAGCACTCCTACGTTTCCTCTGGCACGGACGCCCTTGGCAATTCACTTGCCTCCCTTTCGGGCTCAGCTCAGCCCCATGGTGCTTCACCAAGCTCCTAAAACCAGTGGTGGCCCACCTAAGATCAAGGGGCATTCGATGCATCATCTACTTAGACGATCTCCTCATCTTCTGCGCCGACGAACACAGACTACGCCAACACACTCACCTGGCAGTGTCCCTACTGGAGTCTTTGGGGTTTATCGTAAACCAACAGAAATCGGAACTGACCCCTACCCAGACGATACAATTCCTCGGCTTCGAGATCGACTCGACGACATGCACTCTGAGGCTACCAGCCTCAAAGATCACAGCCATTCGCAAGGAGATTCGCAGGGTTCTCCGTCTCGATTCCATTCCACTACGCAATCTGGCCAGGATTGTAGGACTCCTCTCGGCTTCCATTCAGGCCATATTTCCGGGTCCCCTCCACTACAGGGCCATGCAACGTCTCAAGGCGAAATACCTACGCCGCAGGCCTACTTACGACCAACCCGTCCCGGTGACGATGGAGGTTCGCGAGGAACTATCATGGTGGCTGGACAGCATGCAAGCCTGGAACGGCAGGGCCATATTCGGAGACGCCCCAGACTTCGTACTGGAATCAGACGCCAGCCTGTGGGGATGGGGTGCCACCAACGGAACCATCTCCACGGGGGGAACATGGACGGCGCAGGAGCTCTCCATGCACATCAATTGCCTCGAACTCCTGGCAGGATCCTTCGCGATCCGCAGCTTGGCCCGGGAAAGATCCAACTGCTGCATCCTCCTGCGCATGGACAATGTATCCGCAGTCCAGTACATCAACCGCCTGGGAGGCGCTCGCTCTCGCCTGCTGTCAGATATCACGAGAGGCATTTTCGACTATTGCCTCCCTCGCAACATCACGCTACAGGCAGAATACTTGCCAGGAGAAATCAATCTCACAGCCGACTGGTTCTCTCGCCACTGGAGAGACGTCAGCGACTGGAAGCTAAACACGAGAATCTTCAGGGCCCTTGCAGCCCGGAGGGGTCCCTTTCACCTGGATCTGTTTGCCTCTCGCAACAATCACCAGACCCCGGAGTTCTTCAGCTGGCTCCCGGACCCGGAGAGCAAGGCGACAGACGCATTTCTCCAACAATGGCCGTCGACAGGAGCCTACGCTTTTCCCCCATTCTCCATGATTGCGAGAACACTACACCAGATACGGACGCAACAGATCAAACTGGTTGTCATAGCGCCCTTGTGGCAGAGCCAACCATGGTTCCCGGACCTCCTGGCCTCCTCCTACAGGGACCCTCTTCTCCTACCATCCTTCCCGGACCTGCTCACGGATCCCAAAGGGCATCTCCACCCACTACTCCTGGAAGACCGGCTACCTCTGGTGGCTTGGTCTCTTTCGGGGGTTCCTGGCGAGTCAGCGGACTATCGCAGGCTGCTAGGGACCTCTTATGGGACTCCTGGGCCCCGGGAACTAGACGCTGTTACCTTTCAGCTTGGGCCTCCTGGTCTACTTGGTGCATGGAACGGGACTCCGATCCCTTTACAGCACCTATTCCCATGATTCTTAATTTTCTCTCCTCCTTGTTTTCATCTGGCTGCTCTTACCG